CTGGGGTGGAACATCATGTTGTCGAGGGTACAAAAGTCCTTTTGCAATGTATTGTTTACGGTGCTCGGCCTGCAGCTAAAGTAACTTGGTATAATGGAACGGAAGTTATGCCAGAAGATTTTGTAACAACGGATTCCGCCGTAAAGGTAACTTATTTTTATTATTATTAAAATAATTTTCCGGATTAAAATTAAATTTTTTTTATTATTATAAGTTAAATAAGTCTCCAAGATTTCGTTTAGAAAATTTTTCTTTTATTGTTATTTTATTCTAGAAAAAATTCGAATCGATGATAAAGAAAGAGGTATTATTATCATCATTTGCGTTTGATTAGTAGTAGTTAAAATTCCATAAAAATTATTTTATATCGTTTAATTACATTGATTACGTCACAAGATTTTAAAATGGAATTATCTTTATTTATAGTTTTATTTCTTTTTTTCTTTTTTTAATAAGCTTAAGAATTATTTGACTTTTGTCTAATCTTTAAATTTTTAACTCAATCTCTAAAAATATCCTTTTAATCTTTAAAAAACCTTTTTTTTCTTCCTATTAAAAAAAAAAAAAAAAAAATTATCTCTATAATTACACACCTTTTCTTAACCCCCTCCCCCTCGTATCCCCTTATCCCCCAATCCCATTTCATTATCATCATTATTAGTTCCTTTTAAAAAAAAATAATTATGATAATACCCAAATTTTATTAAAATCCTCAGATATATATATTTAAAAATACAAATGAAACGGAAAAAGGGAAGATTTTTTCCCTCCTTTTCTTAAAAATTTAAATTATCGATCGATTAATTCGAAATAATTTAAATAAATGATGATAACGATAAAATTTTAATTCCGTATAGGATTAATAATGATAACTTTTTTTTTCCTTTTTCCTCCTACTACTATTATTATTATTATTATATGTTTTCTTATTTCCACGCTGCTTTCGTAAGAGACCAAAAACAAAAATCATATTGACGGTAAGTAAAAAATAAATTTACTGTTTATCATTTTAAAATGTTGTTTACGTTTTTTATCACGTGGTTAAATGTGTGACGTCACATATTTAAAATGATTATTGGTGATGGTGAAGAGGAAATGGATCGTGCGAGAATTTCGGAATATTTTTTTTTTTTTTAAATAAAATAATTCTAATGGTAAATTTAAATAAAAAATTACGTAGAAGTTAAGCAAACGAAAGAAAAAAGAGAAAGAGAGAAAGGGGAAGAGAAGGGGAAAAAGAGAGAGGAGAGAGAGGAAAAAAAAATTAACACGTATTTTTTATTTTGACGCCGCCGTGAAAAAAAAAAAATTAAATTTAAAAACTTTGTATAAAATTCATTATGGCAATAAAAAAAAATTTTTTTTTTTTAAAACGTTCGGTGTGTCCAAAAAAAAAAAATTTTCTTCTTTAAATTAAGTTCTTTGTTTGAAAATGAATTTAAAAGGAAAGAAAAAAGAAAAAAAAATAGGCAGAAAATTAAATTTAATAATTGAAATACAAAATCCTACCTACTACCTTTTCTCTCTCTTTCTCTCTTACGAAAAAAAAAGAACCGAAATGATTTTGAAAAGGTTTTTTCACTCTTCCCCTATCTCTCTCTCTTTCTCTCTCTCATCTTTTTTACGTAATCTCAAAAATGGTTCCTCCTCCATCTCTTTATATATATAAAAAAAATTTTTTTTTATTTAAATCTTTACCCAATTTTAAATAAAAAAAAAAAAGATTTATTTTACAATATTTTAAAGGTAAAAAAAAAAAAACTTTGAATACATTCATTTATTAAAAAAAAAAAAAAAAAACAAATTTTTTTTTTTTAGCAGAAGAAAAAAAAATGAGAGGGAAAAAAAAATTGAATTGTGTAATAAATGGGTTTCGGAAATAAGAGAGAAAAAAATTTTTTACTCCCCATATCTCTCTCTCTCTCTCTCTTTCTCTCCATCACATTTTTTTTTACAGCCGCACACGCAATTTTTTTTTTTTTTTTAAAGCCTTTTTAACGGTAGAAAAAATAAAACGGTTGGAATAAAAAAAAGAAAAAAAAGAGAAAAAAGAGAAAAAAAAATTATTTATAATTTTTATATCATGTTAACAATTAATATAAACATAATAATAATAATAATGATAATAATGATAATGATAATGATAATAATACTTAAATGAAAAAAAAACTGATTTTTATTTATTTTTAAACAATAAAAATTAACACAATTAAATTATTTATATTATTATTGGACATTAAATAACAAATCTATTTTATTATTAATATTATCATCATCATCATCATCATTTTTTCCGTTTTGTTTTGTTTTCTTTCCACGAATTATCTTCTGCTATTTTTTTTTACACATAAATAATCGTTTGAACGAATTTAAAAAAAAAAAAAATTATTTTTTTATTACTCGACCGTTAAAATTTTTATTTTTTTTTAAACAATAATAAAAAAGAAAAGTAATAGTAGTAATAATAATGATGATGATGATGATGATGACGTTTAAGGTATTTTTTTTTTTTTTTTTTTATTTGCGAAAAAGTTTTCGGGGATAAGAAAGAAAAAAAAGTTTTTTCTTTTAAACTTTAAAGATAAGTTAAAATATTTTTACACTTTTTTTTTTTTTTTGTTTAAACTTTAAACATTAATTTATTTATTTTTAACTTTAAACATTTATTAATTATTTATTACTACTCGTATTAGGGTAATTTTTTTTCTTATTTATTCGCTTTATCCCAATTTCGAACGGTAATAAAAAAAAAATTTTTTTTTTGTTACAAATAACGAACGACGCGAATCACATTTTTTATTTTTTTATTTATTATTATTATTATTATTATTATTATTATTATTATTATTATTATTATTAATCATTATCATATTACCGGGTAATAATTAAAATTCGCCGAATTTAATTACGTAATAATTTTAATACTTTATCGAAAAAAAAAAATTTTTTTCGGTTTTCAAAACTCAAATTTGATGTTTTTATCATTCGCCATGATAATTAACAAATAATTTATTTTATTTAATAATTAATAAATAAATCGATCGATTTTTTTTAAATTTTAAATTACGTGCATAAAACATTTACGTATTTATTTATTTATTTATTTTTAATTAAAAAAAAAATAATAATGAAAATAAATTTGAGTCCATTAACTTCTGCCCGTTAAATAAATAAATAAATAAATAAAAATTTAAAAAAGAAAAAAAAAACTCGTCGAAATGACGACACATCGTTCATCATCGTTTCATTTCGGAAATGATCGTTTTTAAATTGAAAAAAAAAAAAAAAAAAATTGGACTAATCAAATCCCGCCATTTTGGGTTTTTAAATTTTAAAGGGAAAAAAAATTTTTTCGCGTTTGTTTACTTTTTAATTCGTCATTTAAAAAGTCTTATTAATTATTAATTTCGTTATAATTTATTTATTTATTTTTTTTATTTTTAATGATTATTTCTTATTAATGACCGAATCTGTTATTTGTGTAAAAAAAGAGGCGGAGGCGGGAGTGGGGGGAGAAGAAAATTAAAAATTTTCATTTTTTTTTTAATTTCTCTTGTTTAATTTTCGCCGCGTGATTTATTCATTATCAATATTATTATTTTTTTAACGAGTTTTCGTAATCGAAATGTAATTATACACGTTTATAATTATTTTCTAAATAGAAATTTTGACATTTGTCGAAGGGGGGGGGCGGCATGATAAAATTTCATAACTTGAACGGGTATTATATTTTATATAATCTTAACAACACTCGTAATTAAAATGCTTAAAGCAATGACGACGATCCCTTCCACTCCTTCCTCCCCTTTTCTTTAAGAAA